CATTTACAGTAAAATTCAAAAATCTGCAATAACCTATCCGTACTTTTCCCTTTTTTTTATGATAAACATGAAAGTTTCCACTCTTGGGTTATGTTTTCTTTCATCTAAAACTGACTCATTTGAGATTCTTATTTATTTATTTTTTGCGCCAGAAGATAAGCTAACGGTGCCCCTTCATGAGATGGAAGGTCCTTTGGTTGAATCATACATCCAAAACAAAATAATTGAAAATTGAGAGTGAGTAGTTATGAATTCATACTTGTCAGACATACAAACACCAAGACCGAGGGTTTGTCATTACTTTTCTTTTAGAAGCTGATGATAGGTGACTAGAACTCTTTGTTAAAGCGGGGTAACTTTACCGAAGGTATTATACTCAAAATGATTTCGAATTTTCGAAAAATCAATTACATAAAAATTTAACAAAAAAAAGGGAAGATTTTCGATTACTATCATATAATTTGTGCCTAGTATCATTTTGGTCCCCGAATTTTAAAATGCGATAATTTAATATTTAAATTTTTAAAATGTATCAATTAATTGGTATTTTAAAAGACATAAATGCCCTTCGAATTTCATCTAATTCTCTTTATCAACCATCCAAATGTTGACAAAAAATAACAGTCCTAAATCCTTGTATCTTCTATTCCAAAAAAGTGGGGTCACGTCTCAGTGGGCATTCTAGTGACCCCAACTTTCTTGCATAGAAGAAGAAGGATTTGGGACTGTTCATTTTTATCAACGTTTGGATGATTCATAAAAAGAATTAGATGACACTCAAAGAACATTTGTATCTTTTCAAATGCCACTTACCAGCTGAAAAACGGGCTGAATAACGTCAAGTACTAGATTGGCATATGTATTAAAAGTTTGGGTACTGAATTATCGTGTTAAAATTCAAGAATGAAAATGGTACTAGGCTCAAAGTACAAGGTACTAATCAAGAAAGTTTCAAAAAAAAATGAGGAATATTTATTACTTAGTGACAGGCCCATTCATGCAATCCATTCCTGAGCTGACATGTGTGTTTAGATGGAGTGCTCAGGAAATTTTCTGATGACACAAATTGGCCTAGCCAATCTATCCGACCTATCGGTTGGCCAAAACATCTATAGAACACCTAAGGTTCTGATAAAGATTTCATTGAAAAGCTCAAGCCATGCGACAATCATCTTCCAATAAGAGTGGAACTCTTCAATGAGCATGACGTCTCCTCTATACATAGGTAAAGTTATCATCTCTTAATTACTTTCATCGCCGACCAGGCCTTCTCTACTCAGTCTGGCAACTCCTTGCCTACTTATTACCCAAATCATAAAGAGTTCCCCTTTATGGACATATTAGGACTTTCTCTTTTGTAGATGCATTTAGAAATTGTTCGGCTCACCTAGTCTCCTCGACCCATCCAATTCCCAACTCATCTATACCCTTATCTATTTCTTGGTTTTGGACTACAATAGATTAGATTAGAACTTTTTGTGGACAACATATAGAAAGGCTCGACAACCATGCCTTTTTGTGGGAAACAGATAGAAAGGCTCAACAACCATGCCTCCAAAGACTTGCACCAACAATAGTGACTCATTGAACCGGTTCTTCTCTCAGTAGGTCTCCATGACTTCCATAAAACCATGGTCACAAAACCCTCCACAACCTGTTACACAAGAGGTGTTCCAAAGTCTCTGGCATCAAGTGGATGACCTCTTTACCCTATAGGGGCGAAAATGTATTGGATCATGATCTGGTCCAATTCGAGAAGATCCGACCCGATATGTATAATGTATATATATATATATATATATATATATAAAATACACATAGGTATATTATTTATTTATTTATAAATATATTTTTATAAAATTGCTATATTATTTATTTTTTATAAAAATATGTATATATGATGAAAATATTTAAAAAATACTTGTATTTCCTACTTTTGATTTATTTGAATTAATAGATTTTATTTTTCTTTTAATAATTTATTAATTTTTAAAGAAAACAAGTCCAATCGGATTAGATATGAAGATCCGACTTACCGATAGGATTCAAATTCAAATTGAGTCCTATTAGATCCGATTGGATCTTCAGGTTGGATCAAATCCAACATTGTAATGTCAAATCGGATTCGAATATACCCCGATTCGAATCCGATCCTATCCATTTGCATCCCTATTACCCTACAGACCCATGACCATGGAACACCACCTCAGTATGATTAGGACCAAGAGCTCCCGATTAGATAAAACACCAACCTAGGTAGCTGAGTATAATGGACACTCTAGAATAATCAGCATCCTTGGTCGTCAGGTGATCAAGTCCATCATCCTGATGACAGAACAAGTAGCAACCTCCACAACTACACTAGGACTGACTCAGTTATGGATGGGCACAACTAGGTCCCAAAACCAAGTCAGAAGTTGAACCTCAATGAGGAGCTCAAAGACATGTGAGCTTGCCTTTAAATGGTCGAGGAAGGGAGAAGACCACAACTTACCCTTAGGTAGTAGTTCCCAAAGGATCCTCCATTCACCACACACATCCAAGATGAACCACTCCCAACCAACTTCAAAATGCCAAATATACGAGCATAGGATGGAATAGGGGAGACCATAGACCATCCAGAAAATTATAGGGCCCTCATGCTCCTTCACAGTTACAACAAGTTGCTCTCTTGCAAAGCCGTCCATGCCATATTTATAGATGTAGCACAGTAGTGGTGCACCAGACTACTGCTCAAGTTGATCAACTCATGGGAACAGTTTGTGAATATGTTCATAAACCATTTCATTTGTGGCAAGAAGTATAGGTGGACCCCAGATTTACTAATGGCAGTTTAGTAGAAGAGGGACCTTGAACCTTCTCTTCTAGTGACGGCCCTCACTAACAACATTTGGAGTTTGGAATTTAGCTTTTCATTAGAAAGGAAATTGCCCAAGGACATGGCCAACCTCCTCTAAGCCAAGAAGTACATCAATACCAAAGTGACCTAAGCACACCAGAGAGCAATGAAGGAAGATAGGTTGGATTAGAGGAAGAGAGATAGAGATAGAGAAGACTGCAGAGAGATAGATTGGAACAACTATAGGAGGAAACCAACCTGGGTTGATGACCTCAACTACACTCCTAAGGCCCTGAATTACAACCTTTATACCCCTTTCAATACTTTATAGAAATAGATTCTCCTCAACGTTTGTAAGTAATTCTTCCTCATATGGCGCAATAAACTCAAGTCAAATGAAGCAAGAAAGAATGGAACAAGTACACCATTTGTTTATCGATGACATGGGCACGATACTAAGGACTATCATGAATTGAAGAATGAGAACGAGCATCTCATCTAAAGGGTAACACGGGAAAATTAGTGAGAAAGACTTTTCTTTCTTTCCTTTTTCTTTTTGTGTTATTCCATCTTAGACATACAACCATATATATATAGGGAGATGTTACTTATTGCAACCAACTCTCCAGCTCAGATGTAACTAACTCTTCATTTACAATTTGTATTATCCCCCCTCAAGATGAATATGGATATTGAGCATGTTCATCTTGCTTATTAAGCGTTGAAAATGTGAGGGTTGCAAAGCCTTGGTGAAAACATCTGCCACCTGATCAGAAGAGGACAAATGCAGTAAATGTAGGAAACCATTCTGAACTTGATCCCAGACAAAATGGCAATCTACCTCAATGTGTTTACTCCGCTCATGAAACACAGGATTACGAGAAAGATAGATCGCAGAATGATTATCACAATGTAACGAGATAGGCAATGAAACTGTAATGCGAAAGTCAATGAGCAAAGAAGAGAGCCACATCAATTCACAAGTGGTGGCTGCAATAGCGTGATACTCCGCCTCACTTGAACTTCATGCCACCAAATTCTGCTTCTTAGACTTCCATGTGATCAAAGAATCACCCAAGAAAATACAGAAGCCAGAAACGGATCTCCTTGTATCTGGGCAACCAACCCAGTCACTGTCAGAGAAAGCCCTCAATTGTGTAGAAGAACAGGCCAGCTCCAAGGGAAGATTTCAAGTATCTCAATACACGATGTGCAGCTTGTAAATGAAGATCAGTAGGTTTGTCCATTTATTGAGATAAAATCTGCACAGCATAAGAGATGTCGGGACGAGTGAAAGTGACATAAATCAACTTCCCAACCAACTTTCTGTAATATGAAGCATCAACAAGAAGGATTCCACTATCCCTGGCCATCTTATGATTAGGATCAATGAGAGTAGAGACAGGTTTGCAGCCTAATTTCCCATGGTCATTCAACAGGTCCAACACATATTTTCTTTGGCAGACTACAATTCCCTTGTCAGATCTTGCAACTTCAAGACCTAAGAAGTACTTCAATGAACCCAAATCCTTAAGCTTAAACTTGGAGCTAAGGAACATTTTGAGATCAGCAATGAGTGCAGTGGAGTTACTAGCTATAGCAATGTCATCAATATAAACTAACAATGCAATAAATACTTCAGTAGTGGATCTTGTAAATAAAGAGTAATCAGCTTTTGATTGAACAAAACCATACTCAAACAATGCGACAGAAAATTTAGTGTTCCATTGTCTTGATGCCTGTTTAAGACCATACAATGATTTATTTAGTTTGCACACTAATCTGGACCCTACTGGACAGTGAGGGGGTTTATCAACTGCATAGCCCAAAGGAAGATCCATATAAACATTTTCCTTCAAATCACTATATAAGAAAGAATTGTTAACATCAAGTTGAGCTAGATACCAACCAAAATGAGCTGCTAGAGCAAGAAATACTCTCACAATAGTTTCTTTTGCAACAGGGCTAAAAGTCTCCTGATAATCGAATCCTTCTTGTTGGCTATAACCTTTAGCCACTAATCTAGCTTTATGTCTTTCTATGTTTCCATCAGATTTTAACTTCACCTTGTATACCCATTTACAACCCACTGCATGTTGGTCTAGAGGTAAGGGAACAACTGACCAAGTGTTGTTATCTTCCCAGGCAAGCAATTCAGCTCTCATGGCTTCTTGCCAATGGTTGTGATCCTTAGCTTGAAAATAGGATTTTGGTTCATAAGAAGAGACAAAGCAATAGTAAAAGCATAATGAGAATCTGAAAGTTGGGATGTTGAGAGGAAATTCTGAATAGGATGTGATGTAGATAGATGGGATGATTTAGCAGGTAAGTCAGGATGGTATGCGGCTAGGTACTGTGGTGGTTTAGTCACTCTTGTACTCCTTAGAGGTACAGGATCAAAACAAACCTCTGGCTGTAGATGAGAAGCAGCAGGGGGATGTGCATTAACAGGAGAAGTATGAGGACTTTCAAACATAGGAGTGGATGAGTAAGGATTGGAAGGAACAGAAGCTGATGGGGAAGAAGCATTGTCAGCAATAATTTGAGGTTGTGGTAAAGGATGAATGGCAGATAAGTTAAATGAGGATTGTGCATCACGGGTATGTATAGAAGATGTAGCAGAGGATGAAGAGAAGGGGAATTCAGATTCAAAAAATACTACATCCCCAGAGATGAAAATAGAATGATCATCAAGATTATAGAGTTTGTACCCTTTCACCCCATTGGGATATCCCACAAAGACACATTTTATAGCTCTTGGATGGAACTTCTTTCTATTATGTTGTAAGGTGCTAGCAAAACATAATGAGCCATAAACTTTGAAATGGCCATACTGGGGAGCTTTATGAAACAAACACTCAAATGGTGTAAGGTTGTTCAGAACAACAGTTGGAAGTCTGTTAATGATATATGTAGCAGTTAAAACTGTTGTTCCCCAGAATTTTATTGGCATGGAAGCTAGAAACATTAAGGACCTGGCCACAACCAATAAATGTTGATGTTTACGTTCAACAACGGCATTTTGTTGTGGGGTACCAACACAAGACAATTGATGCACAATACCCTTAGAAGAATAGAATTCATAGAGATTGAACTCGGGTCCATTATCTGTACAAATTTGTTTGATAGAGCAATTAAACTGAGTACTAACCATATTGTAAAACATTGTAATAATGGAAATAGCATCAGACTTTGCTCTCATTAAGAAAACCCAAGTAAATATAGTGAAATCATCAACAATAGTAAGAAAATAGTGATAACCACCAATAGTTGCAGTAGAATATAGTCCCCATATATCCATATGAATGAGTTCAAAAGAAGAGACAGTGTTCTTGACATAAAGGGGAAAGGGAAACCTCCTTTGCTTAGCAAGAGCAAATATGGCAGTTTACAAATTCAGCAGAGCAAACATCATTATTACATTGATGTATCTTATTTATTACATCTTTAGAACTATGCCCTAGCCTGAAATGCCAAAGAGGAAAAGGAGTAGTAGATTGTGTAGTAGCAGAAGTGCTGAAGCAGGAAAAAAAACGATGTCCAGACTTGAATGATGGTTGAAGAGGATAGAGGCCAGATTTTGCTTTACCAAGACCAATCATTATCCTTGAAGATTGATCCTGTAAAACGCAAGAATCAATAGTGAAAATAATAGAAGAATTAGAATCATTGGCAAGTTTTTGGACTGAAATAAGGTTGAATGAAAAAGAATGGACAAATAGCACATCATTCAGAATAGTAGCAGAAGCCAGAGGAATTGTTCCAATGTGTGTGGCTTGAACCTTAGTTCCTTTTGGCAGAGTGACAAACAAATCGTGAATAGTGGTGTAAGAATCAAAGTATTTGAGAGAATTAGCAATATGGTCTGTGGTTCCTGTGTCTACAATCCATATATCAGTGGAAGATAATTGAGATGAAGAGCAATGAGAGTTAACAGAATGTGTACGATCCAATATACCTGCAAAGGGAGTATTGGTTGGAGGTTCTGATTGAGAAATGGGGCTGCTATGAGAGTCACAACCATTGAGAAGAGTCAGCAACTTTCTTGTCTATTCAGGAGTGAGTGACAATGCTAGTGATGTCTCAGAAACATTTGACAGAATGCCAGTGCCTTGAGTCACATTATTAGCAGAATGTGTACCACCAGTTGCAGATTTTCCTTTAGTAAATTTGAAATTGGGAGGAAAACTTGTTATCCTGTAGCATTTATCCTTTAAATGACCCTTTTTACCGCAATGACTGCAGGTAACACTTGACTTCTTCTTCTGATTTCCAGAACTGATTGCCATTGTACTAACTTCAGGTAAGGGAGAAACATTAATCCTGATATTTCTCTGAGATTCTTCCCTTAAGGCAAGATTATACACCTCATCAAGATTGGGGAAGGGCTTCATGACCATAACTTGTGATCTCAAGGCAGAGAATGATTCATTTAAACCATTGATGAATTTGAACACATAGTCCTTTTGTTGCGCTTCAGAGAAAATCTTGAAACAGTCCTTGTTACATTTTCAACACTGGCAGTGGGGCAGAGGTCGATAACTCCTTAATTCTTCTCATATTCCTGTCAATTCAGTGAAATAGGCATCAACAGTTCTTGTTCCCTGAGTAATTGTACTGAGAGACAACTGCAAATTACAAATTTTTGAATCATCCGGTTGTGAGAATCTCTTCTTCAAGACCTCACATATCTATGACGCCGAATTGATATAGAACACAATGGATGCTATTGGAGGGGAAATTGACCGCAGAAGCCATGCAACGATTAAGTTGTTGCATCTCATCCAAGCACCGTGAAGAGCATCATCCAGAGCAAGTTCTTTAATGGTTCCATCCACAAAACCGATTTTGTTTCTGATTGACAAGACTAGAAGGAAAGATCTGCTCCATGAAGCATAATTAGAGCTTGTGAGTTCCAGCAAAACAGTGACCGATCCATGATGATCAGAATGATGAAGGTAATATGGTGAAGCAGGATCCAACAAGGGTGAGAGTTCCACTGCTGATGTAAAACTTGACAAGGGTGAGAGTTCCACTGCTGATGTATTGAGCAAACAATACAGACAACAAGAAAAGAGTGGTAGTTGATGACCGGTTCTGAAATACAGTTCTCAGACAGTCTGGTTCTAAAATCTTGAAATGCAGCTCTCAGTCTGATCCCTCACCAAAATAGAAATTGTTTACAGCCATGCACTTCACAACAATCTTTGCTTGGATGTGGTGGTTTCGGCACTGGTAAAGTTGTTTAGATGAAGCACAAGATCCTCAGGTCAATAGCAAAGGCTGTCCTCAGAACAGAACCATTTGATCAGCTCTTCTGATATGAGATCGATAAAATGTGTTATATCTCTGCTACTACAAGGCATGTGCTGAGCTGCTGGATGAAGAAAATATTCATCTTGGATCTGCTTCATCTCTGTAGATGGTGAGCAACACAGTGAACAACAGTGAACAACAGAACGAAGACCAAGATAGCTATCAAGTCTTGGCTATCAGAGAATGTATTTGTCAGTCGCACCGTCGCCAGAAGATCTTGGAGTTGATCTTGATGCGGCGGATGAGAATCTTGTAGCTTGCCCCGTTCTTGATCGAAAAGAAAACCGATCGAAGCGGATCGCAGACTGAGAAACTTTCAACGAAGAACAGGGGACTCTCTTCTTGGTTTCAGCAAAGATCAGGGACGACTCTAACAAATGGAAGTAAAGAGATCTCTATGACACCATAGTGATCTTGATGCGGCGGATGAGAATCTTGTAGCTTGCCCCGTTCTTGATCAAAAAAACAATCGAAGAAGATCGCAGACTGAGACTTTCAACGAAGAACAGGGGACGAGCTCTCTTCTTGGTTTCAGCGAAGAACAGGGACGAGCTCTGACAAATGGAAGTAAAGAGATCTCTGTGAAATGCTCAGAGATCTGCTCCACAAACAGGGATCAAGAAGGATCGAGGATTGCAGACTGAGAAGGCTGTGCGAAGGTTGAAGGAACCGTAGCTCTGATACCATAACAGAAATAGAAACGGGAAAATTTGAGAGAAACACTTTTCTTTCTTTCCTTTTTCTTTTTGCGTTATTCCATCTTAGACATACAACCATATATATAGGGAGATGTTAGTTATTGCAACCAACTCTCCAGCTCAGATGTAACTAACTCTTCATTTACAATTTGTATTAAAGGGCAACCTCAATACAAATTATAAATGAAGAGTTAGTTACATCTGAGCTGGAGAGTTGGTTGCAATAACTAACATCTCCCACGAGCAGCACAGAGGAGACAGACACAGAGAGCAGCAATAGCAATAGTGGAAGTAGAAACATGAGTCGGATAACCAACCAATGGTAGGATTAGCGTCAGAAGGAAAAAAGTGCCTTAGCTAAGAAGGTGTATGCTCAAACATTGACCATTGAAGAATTCTCAACCCAAGGACATTGTATCATTTTTAAATAAGCACTTCAAGGGAGACCATGTCTCCTGTGATGATGTGCTTGTCATTTTACTAGCCATGGAAAACTTCACTATCCACCGCATCTTGATTGACAAAAGAAGCTCGACAGACTTCATCTTTTATGAGGCATTTACATGTATGTGAATTATCAAGGAAGATCATGCTCCTTATCATCTTGGGGGATCCATCATGTCGAATTACCAAGATGGTAGAATTTTTAGTCATCAACATCAAGTCGACCTACCACCTAACAATAAAATTCCTAACTGATGGTGCGGAAGTTGCATAAGGAGATCAAGTGGGGCTTGGTAGTATTACGTGGCCACACTCAAATGCAGAATGAGCTCATGCGAGTCACTAGCCATTAATAGCTTAGACCATCAAGATGAGCTCATACCTTAGCATAGAGAACAAGTGGAAGGCCCTGTACATGTACCAATTTTTTATAGTAACACTTACAAGACCATCTAGGCAAGTTCCCTAATAATTGATAGTCTTTGGCTTAATATCACTAAATTTTAACGACTAATGCCAATGTGTTTACCTAATCCATAAAAGACATGCAAAGGATTAACCCTAAGGTGATTGTCCACTGACTTAGCATGTACCCAACCTATCACCCTATTTAGAAGAACAAGTGGAATTTTGCACCAAAGAGGTGGCAAGTTATTCATGAGGAGGTAGTAGGGGTGTTCACATTAAATGTCTAACCGATTAAACTGGCCTAATCCAACCCGAGTTGGCGAGTTTTTCAAAACCATCGGTCAGTTTCTGTTTATATGAGAAAATAAACCAACAACTCGGTATGAATTAAATAATTATTAATTAGTCCCTATCCTATATGTTAAATGTTGATATATTTTATTTGTGTTTTGTTTGAACTTTGAAAAAAAATTGGTTATTTATGATAAAAACTAAAAACGTAAAACCAATACAAATATAACACAATGGTACAATGTTTAATTTAGTTTTGTATAAATTTAAATATATATTGACGAAAAAATCAGTTTTGCATAAAAAACTAATAGATTTAAATATATATTTTGATTTTGCATAAAAACTAAAAAGTAATAAACTTAAACATAAATAGATATTTTGGTTTAAAATATATATAAAAACCTACTAGGCTGATAAACCGACCCTTCATGTTTGGGTCGGCTTGCTTCAGGGTCAGTTGGTTTCGGTTTAGCCAATAAGTAAACCGACTAGGTCAGGTCGGTTGAATAAAATGACTCAAACCGACCCAACCCGACCCGCGAACACCCCTAGGAGGTAGAAAAGCTCCTCGAAGAAAATAATGGTGAAAAAAAATGGGAAGTAACACACTCCCTTCATCATATCACAAGGTTTATATTGTTATAAGGTGATGCCCTTCAAATTGAAGAATGCCAACACAATGTACCAACAGCTCGTTAATAAGATCTTTAAGGACTAGATCAATCGGAATGTGGAGGAGTATGTTTATAACATATTAATGAAAAGCATCAAGGCTAACCAGCACCTCACCGATCTAGAAGAAGTTTTTGTATTCTCTAAAAATACAAGACAAAGCTCAATCTGAGCAAGCATGCATTTAGGATCATCTTGGGAAAATTCCATGGGTTTGTAGTGACACAAAGAAGCATTTAATCAAATCCTAAGAAGATTAAATACATCCTAGACATGTTCCTACCTTAGACGCAGAAAGAAGTACAAGTGATTGGTCAATTTACGACCATTGGTCGATTCATGACTGGGTTAATAGAGAAATGCTTGTCATTTTTTAAAGCTCTAAAAAGGCCCAAAATTTACGATGTACAGAAGAATGTGAATAGGTCGTTCAAAAACTCAAGAAGTATCTTTGCTTGTCGCCCCTACTTACCATGCCTTGCCTTGGAGACGGGTTCCTCCTCTATCACTTAGCCGAGGATGAAGTTGTGAGTGCAATCCTTGTTAAAGAAGAAGATGAAACATAGAAGCCAATCTAATTTATTACTAAAGTTTTATAGGATGTAAAGATGAGGTACACAGACATTAAGGTCACCCTAGCTCTAATTTTCTCAGGTCAGAAGTTGAGGCCCTATTTCCAATCACATAGTTTCTCAATGCAAACCACCAGCCTCTTTGGGAAACTATTTAGTAGCTAGAGATGTGTAGTCATTTAATCAAGAGGGCTATGGAATTTTGGGAGTTCAACATACAATACAAGTCACAACCAACCATAAAAGGTAAGGTGCTAGTAGATTTTATAGCAGATTGCATACTCTCCAATTACATCAAGCCGACCACTAAGCTAACAATTTTTTTTCTTTGCTTGGACTTTACAAGTAGATAGGACATCCATTCAAAATGGGAGTGGAACAAGGCTCATTTATCTCAGCCCTATAGTGTTGCCTTAGAATACGCCTACAATCCAATTTCAAAGCCTCTAAGAACTAAGTAGAGTACGGGGCCTTAATAGTAGGGATTGGACTAACCAAAGAGCTCAAGGTGGACAAATTGAAGGTGTTTAGAAATTCCTAGCTCATCGTAAATTAAATCAATGAAAAGTACAAAGCTCGAGAACTATCAATGCCAAAGTACCTATAGAAACTCTATGGAGTCATCAATAGTTTGAGCAGCTTCACCTTGTAGTAAATACCCATGTCAAAGAACGTCCAAGTTGATGCCTTATCCAAACTAGCCAGCTCATCTTGCTTCGTTATTGGGAGGAAGTGTGTTTTGAAATGCTACCTCAGACCAACATAGAAAATGAGGTTTAAAGGTCGATGTGGCATGTTTGGGTTGAGCACTATTGGATAAATCCCATCATCGAGTACCTAAAGGATGGAGAACTTGTTGTAGACTAGGCTAAAGCCAAAAAAGTTACTCATTGAGAAGCATGATTTGTCGTTAAAGGAGGAGAGATCTTCAAGCAATCTTTCACCTTTCCCTACCTTAAGTGCCTTAGGTCCAAGAATGCTAACTATATCCTCTAA